GGGCAATCGTTATCAAGGGGATTTATTATTTTTGGGGTGTATAGGGGGTGCCCGAAGTTTGGGAATCCCAATTTGGACCCGGGGGCTTGCGTACCAGCCTCACAAGGCGCGAGCACGACGGGCTCGCCATTCCCAATGTGCCAGTTCATTGTTGCAAGGCAGAGGTGTTCTTCCGGGGTTGTGACTGAACTTGAAAAGCCAGGATCCCATTTCAGCTGCCTCGGACAAGGCATGCCTGATGGTATGGGGAAGGACTGGACCGGGTGGTAGAGCAGTTGGCATGCAGAAGCCTCCATGGTGTCGTTGCTGGACCTGTCTACTGTCAGCACCGGCGAACTCGGCACCAAATGCATATTGCGCCTGCTGCGAAAGATGGCGCCGCGGCGAAACTCGAAGTACTGCCGCAAGTCAAAGGAATCGCATACTGCAAGCTCCAGTTCTGAATAAGCATTCACTTGGACGCAGTACTTGGTGTTCAAGGCCAGCTGCATTTGCCCGCCTGAGAACAGACACAGGCCAGTCAGGACATGTACACATACACACATACACACATACATACATACATACATATATATATATATATATATATTATAAAAAACATACATATATAATACATGATGTTTGTGTTTGTGTGTGTGTTTTCGTGCGTGCATTGTTTGTGTTTGTCTGCGTGCGTTTACGCTTGAACATATAGAACTATGCTGCAAAAACGACGGCAAACAACCCAGGTCTCTAAGTCCTGCGGCCGCCCGCCTCTAAGCGTGTTGAACAGGAACTGTGTCGGGCCAATGCCATCCTTGTGGGGTAGGCTGGTCTTTACAAGCCCTCAACCCTGATGCCCAAGCCGTCTAGGTTCGCAGGTTCTGAAGGGTTACGAGAACTGTAGGGGGTCTGGAGGCTGTTCTGCCCTGCAAGCCAACAGGAGAAGTCCCTTGATATCCATCACAAGGAGTCAAGAGGCAGATCCACATTTACTTGGGGGTTTAGAGCTTTGAGGCTTGGCTTTCAACCAAAATCCTTTCTTGCAGCCCGGCGTCACCCATACAGGGGCCGGGGACGAGGCTAACGCCTGCCTCAAGTGACCAGCCTGAATGCGAAGTGGTTTGTGCTTCCCAGCTCGAAGCCCTAGAGCTTAAAGACATGAGGACTGCGCGGAGCATTTTGCTACAACAAATGTCGGGTTGACTCTTGGGGGGTGGGAGGATCTTGCCTTGGCTTCGGGACTTCTACGCACATAGCTAAGGGGCTAAGAAATTTCCATGTGTCCGCCAGCCTCAGAGGTCGTTGGGCGAGTTTACGGCTGTGCCCGGGGAGGGGGTTAGGATTTTCAGTTCAGGGGATGCTGGGGCGACACCCTAGCTGTATCGTGAGCTTCGTTCAATGCCTGGCAAGGAGACACAAAGGTGCGTCGCAGAACTTCGGCGGCTGCATCAGGTGGTAGGACTACGAGCCCCCTAGACGTTGAACCCTGAAACCCCGCAACACCAAATCCCTCCTTGTGTCTGGCTTCAGCCGGCAGGCCCTGCAGGGAGAGGCAGGTCCTCTCTGTCTTCCACATCAGCTGCCGGGGGCAGTTGAAGTGACACTTGTCGATCTCGAAGGTCTGCCTCAGGGTGCTGAGAGGCCTGTTGAGGGCTCCCGGCCCTACCCTCAAATAGCAAAATGGTCAACCTGAGATCCCTAGCTCCATGCTCCATTTTTGGGCCCTAAACCTGAACCCAAAACCCTTAAACCTACACCCTCAACCCGAAAAAACTCTAAACCCCACAGCCCTAAACGAGCAAAAGCCACGGACAGCGTCGGCAAGAAGATCCCGGAGATCCCCCCACAAAAGGCAACATCTAAGCTAAGGATTAGGGTTTAGGGCTAGTGGTTTAGGGTTTAAGGTTAGGGCATTTGGGCTTTCATTCGGGCTCAGGGTTTAGGTTCTGAAGGCTCTGGGCTTAAGAGTTGAAGAAACGCACAGCCGCAGAGCCTCGAGCCAGAGCCCTCTCAGGCCACAAACACCCCACATCTCGAAGACACGAGACTTAGGCTTGTAGGTCCTTAATTCGGGTTTAGGGTTTAAGGGAAGCCCCAAACCCTAAACCCCAAACCCAATCCCTGAACCCTCAGCCGCCACGTAACGCCGACTTGCATGGTGCGATTTGCACATTCATTCCCGCGACCGGTGCGTGGTAGGCCACATCTAGGCCTGGGTTTAGGGCTTAGGGTTTAGGATTTAAGGTTTGGGGGAAAGCCCCAAATCCCGAAAATTTGGGGGGTTGCAGAGCATCGGGTTTAGGGTCTACTTGGAGGCTCTAAACCCTAAACCTTAAACATTAAACCATGAATTAAGGTTTAGGGAGCGGGCTCGAGAGCCCTTGCCTACAGCCACTGGGGCGCTCTTGATCTTGATCTTTGTGCTGGTGCTCTGTTTCAGGGTTTAGAGTTTGGGTTTGGGGTTCGGTTAGACTGCAGGGTTTCGGCTCGGGTTTCGGCGATAGCCCCTGTTGCGTTCGAAGAGGCTTAGGAGTTCTGAGCAGCGAAACTTCACATGCATTCTTTGTTGCTGCTACATTGCAGCTCAAGAAATACAAAATCGGGGGTCGCTCTGCTAAGCTGGACAATGGCACCATGCAGCTGTTGCCATAGGCTTCTTGCTACAGGGACTGTGATGTGCCAAAAGGAGCCCCTGGCCACAGAACAATTGGGTTCCCGAACTCTGTTCTAGTTGCCCTTCATACTCCGGCAATGAAACAACTCCGAAGACTCCATCAAAATTACCGGGTTAAGGGTGTAGGGGTTGGGGTTTAGGATTTTGGGTTTAGGGTTTTGGGTGTTGGGTTTAGGCAACCACCCCTCGACTAAAACAAAAACGACCGGCGGGGTCAAAAACAACTCGGGCCTGCGGGATCCTTGAAAATCAAGCCCCTTTCCGGTAAAGACTGGAGCCCTTCAATACCCCAAACCCTCTACAACCTCGAAAGTTCGGATCACCCTTCCAGATCCATTTTGAATCAAGACGAAGGGGGGCTGCTGAAGCGAAGTGAACATGAGGCCACACTACGCCAGTTGCTGCTGAAAGAGCATTTGTGGGGATGAAGTGACCAGTGCAACGCCTGATTCTCTGCGATGGTGAAGTTCTGAGTCTTCGACTCCTGAGAGGGAATTAAGGGTTTACCTAGAGTAACCTTCTTCCCCTTGCAGGCAATGTACCAGAATTATTGTGTGTATGTAACTGTGTTGAAAGGTCTCGGGGTTTCTCCAGGTAGGGTTGTACATCAGTACTCCTTAGACAAGCCCTATGAACTCTTTTCGTTTAGATCCACCACGTACGCCTTGCAATCATGGAGTGGTGTCCCGCAGACTTCATTCTTGACCCCACCATTTGCAATGTCCGACCGACACCCTTACAACCCTAAAACCCCCTCAAAACCCGCAACCCTACACCCTAGAAAACCGTGAACTGGGGGAGTTGGCGTTGTAGGGCTGCGACGTAAGCCCCAAGCCCGGTCTAGGCTTTTGGGTTTAGGGTTTAGGGCTTGGTGTTTAGGGCGTTTGCAACTCGCTTCAGCCAAGAGGGCACGGCCGTCTTGGCATTCCCAAAGCTGGAGCTTCGTCCAATCCACGTTCAGGTGGTTCCTTGCAGTGTCCAGGGGTGTTTGAGGGTTTAGGGTTTAGGTGTTAGGGTCGGGTTCTAGGGTTTAGGTTTGGGGCTCAGTGCTTTAGGATTCTTGGGGCCACCAGAAACTTTTTCTAGTGCTAAGAACTACGGGTACCCTTTTGAGGGTTGGTTGCTTTTGTATGGGAGCCCAGAGCCCACCACGGCTACCAGGGGCTAAGGGTCAGGGTTTAGCACTGGCTCCCGGGCCGAAGATTACAAGTGCTACGGCCCAAGCGTGCCACTCGTATGTGTTCGGGAAGGCCCGGGTAGGCCAGAGGCATGACATGCAATGCATGTACGTGTGGTCCAGGAGAAGCTGTGAAGTATTTCCTGGTGCCATTTTCCACTGACGTTTACATGATCTGACGGCTAGCTCCTGCACTGTACATTCTTTCGTGTTCTGCCGAGTCAGTTTGATTCCGCAGTGTGGGCGTTATGACGCGGAAACCTCAGAAGACGATTAGGGCTGTCCTCACGTCCAGGCATAGCGATGGCCGAGTGTAGAGCCGGATTTTGCTGCCGTTGGTGAAAAGCCTGGGCGCCAAGCTTTTACCTAATGCACCTAATATAAATAACAATAACAGTGGCCGTAACAATCACAGTCGCAGTGACAGTAACAATAGCAATAACAAGCGCGGACATAACACCAAATCAGCTGACATACAATGTACCAGTGGGTGTGCAAAAACCTGCACCGCTAACTGCTTTCTGCCACCTGCCCCGCTTGGCCCACTTGCTGACGTCCCTTAGCGGAAAACGATATTGCCCCACTTGCCGAACCTGCCCTGCATGCCCCTCTTCCCCCAGCCCCCAACTTCCCCTCCCAGAAGCTCCAGGGCACTCACGGAATGGGCCACTCGCCCACTTGCCCCACGGGAGAAAGGAGCAGGGGCAAGTGAGGCAAGTGGGGCCGGCATCAACTAATGTCGCTGTGGGCGGACCAATCAATACACGGAAAAAAAATTCTTCCGGGGCCGGGCCCCTATGGTCCTCTCAATCGCAAACAAGCTGGGAAGGAAAAGTTGCCTTTTCTCCTCCTTACAAAGGCTATTGATCCTTAGAATTTAGGGTTTGGGCTTCAGGTGCCATCTTGAACTAGTAGCGCGGGTCTGAACCCTAAACCTATAAGCCTTAAATCCTAAAACCCTATACCCGCAACCCCACATCCAAGACCCTAAACGCTCAGCCGAGAGGCCACTCATCATGCGGAACCGAACCGCATTTCTGGATCACTACCTGGTCACAGAGTTCGCCGTGGGGCCCCGAAGCCCGAAACCTCTCTTGGGGTCAGGGCTTCGGGGCAATCTCTATAGGGCTTAGGGTTTAATTAGGGTTTAGGGTTTAGGGTTAGGGGCTTAGCAGGTTAGAGTCCACAGCGAAACAAGCTCTTGTTTGCCTCCTCGGCTTCCACAGGGTGTACGAATGACGGGTTTTTGGGGGACTTGCTCAGAAGTCCAGGCAGTTCACCTCTCTCAAAGGTAGGGAGGGTTCAGGGGTCTGGATCAAAACCCAAACACGAAGCCGCATCTCTTGTGCCTGTAAGCTCTTGAGCTCTACAAACCCTACCCGGACCCCCAAACTACCCATGACAGTAGCCTATACACACACAGACACGCGCACACGCACACGCACACGCACACGCACACGCACACGCACACGCACACGCACACGCACACGCACGCACACGCACACGCACACGCACACGCACACGCACACGCACACGCACACGCACACGCACACGCCACACGCACACGCACACGCACACGCACACGCACACGCACACGCACACGCACACGCACACGCACACGCACACGCACACGCACACGCGCGCACACGCACACGCGCACGCGCACGCGCACACCCGCGCACACCCGCACACACCCGCACACACACGCACACACACGCACACACACGCACACACACGCACACACACACACACACACACACACACCCACACCCACACCCACACCCACACCCACACCCACACCCACACCCACACACACACACACACCCCCACACACACACACACACACACACACACACACACACACACACACACACACACACACACACACACACCCTTTATTGCGGGACCGTACAGCAGGCCGCTGGATTTTTCCAGCGGCACTCCGCACAAAATCTCACAGTATCCTGCCTGTAGATTTACCTGTCTACCCTTCAAAAGGGGCAATGCGCCAAATCGTTACTGGATACATCCTAAATCCCAATCCCAAAACCCCAAACCCTTTTTTAAGGTATCAGGCTAGTATTAGGTTGCTCTGGGAAAACCCTAAGCCACTAAACCCAGAGCTCCCAATCAGAATGGCAGGAGCCTCCGTGCCGTTGTAGACGTCAGGACCCTTCGCCGCCAGGCAGAACTCCGGATGCGACTGGCGCCGAGTTTAGAAGGGAGTAGGTTTTAGGATGCAGGGTTTTGGTTAGGAAAATGGATTAATTAGGGGGTTTTTGACGCGAGGTTTGCGTTTGCAGGGCAAAATACACCACGCTGCCCAGGTCACCGTCGCAAGAACCCTGGACCCCGAGCACGCGTGCCCGGATGGCACCTTCCACTTGATCTGCCGACCACAGTGGAGCAGATCTTCATCCGATAAGTTGGACACCCCCCACATCCTGAGCTGAGATGATTTGCTGCAACTGACGAACCACTTACACGTGACCTGTTATAGTACTCTCCCTCGAAAAAGTACCCCCTTCCTCATGAAAACTTCGCACAGAAAATGCAGAGCTTTCAACGACAGTTCGGGCTTGCTAGAGGTTTAAGGCTCAGGGCTTTGCAAGGTTTTGGCCCTGCTGCTTTGGTCGAACTGTGGAACGGTCTGGTGAGCTCCAAAGTTCACAACGCATTGAACCCGTTTAAGCCCTGGCCCCTAAAGCGCAACTAGAACAAATGCCGGACTTCGAGCCTAGAAACATCGGAACCCCAAAGCCCTGAAAATGGCCCACTCATGCACGGATAGACGTGTAGCGCAGTGAAGCTCGTGTGCTATCCGAGTCCGGAGAACATTGAGGATGCACATGCTCACAAGACGCAGGCAAAAAAAAGGCAGCAGAAACAAGGAACTGAAGACGCTTTACAGCTGCCCTGGTGACAGGCAGCTGGACAGAACTCCTGCCGAAACCACACACGGACCGCACCCTCTCTTCGGAAAGGAGTCGTAGGTTAGATGCTGGCTTGTGTGCAGTGCGGAAGGTACATCTCAGTGATCTTGGGTCGCACTGTCGCACCGTCCAACTTCGCTGGACTGGCGCTTTCTCATGGACAACCGGTCCCTCGGGTACTTCTGCACATCGATCCCATAGACCCTACATACACAGGCCCCGCGTCTTTCAGCAGAAGCTCTCATTCCCTCCTCCCTCGACCCGAAAATGCCGAATATCTGAGATGCCTCAAAACTTAAACCCCCTGACTCGAAACGCTCACAAAAAGCATCAACACTCAACTCAGCGCAAAGCCAAAGAACCCTACCCACTTCGAGGACTTTAGGGGGGCCTTTTGAGTGCAGTGAGAATTTTTCTAAGTACCCAGAACTCCAAGGTGTAAGCTGCTGAAAGGGGCAAGGCTCGAGCTCAGCAAGAGGGAGCCGCCCATCCAGAGCGCCGAGGCCACCAGAACGACCCCGCAAGCGAGTCCGGCGATGAAGACGCCGCTCTTGGCATTTCGATCCCAGAGGCCTTGGATCTTCCAGCTGTTTAGGGTTTAGGATCTTGGAGGCTTAGGATCTTCCAGCTTAGTAGGGTTTAGGATCTTAGAGCTTTTATAGGGCTTAGGATCTTGGAGCTTATCAGGGTTTAGGATCTTGGACCTTTATGGGGCTTAGGATCTTGGAGCTGATTAGGATCTTAGAGCTTGTAGGGTTTAGGATCTTAGGGCTTACAGGGTTTAGGATCTTAGGGCCTTAGGGCTTGTTAGGGCTTATAGGGTTTAGGGCTCACAGGGTTCAGGAGATTTTTGCAGACTAGGGCTCCGGATCTCAAGATTGAGAGCCGGGTCTTACGACAAAAGAAAGTACCACATCAGACGGATCTCCAAACCCTAAAGCCTGACAGCGACAACTCAAATCTGAACCCCCCCCCCCCCCCCCCCAAGCCAGAAACATGGATAGAACTACTGAATCCGGAGCAGCCCTAAAGGTCAGTTATATTCCCACTTCAAGGTCATGATGCAACTAAATGCGGGGTTGTAAATATGCCCCCCCGCCCCAAAAAAAGGTATTCTCTCTCACCTACAACCATAACTATCCTGCTTAAAACCCTTGCTATGACTACCCAGGGCCGAGTATAAACTGAGACTGTACATCGATTGTATGGGGAGATAGTATTGGTAAAAGAATTACCTTAAATGCCTAGTTACCCAAAACAACAAAAGGCTACTATACCCCCAAACTAGGAAAGAATAGCCCATAATTCTAGTCTACAGGCTTTCAAGGTAGGCTCCTACTTTCTCTCTTTCGGCATCCTGGCCACTCCAACCACCACGTTGGAAGGGGGACGCGGCCTGGTCGAGTTGACTCCGTCTATATACATATACATCTGTATTCCTTTTGGATATGGATCTTTGAAAGTAAATGAGTACGATACACACGTAGGATGTTTGGGGTTTGGGATGATAGAGTACTCTGCAATTGCTGGCCCAGGGCGGGTGGGGATTGCTGAGGGGCTTAGCGGCACTAGACTGGGCTTCGACTTAAGCATTTTTTTTGCGTGCAACCTGAACCTTGACCTTCGGTTTAGGAGGTCAGCCCAGCTGGACTTGCCGCCATTCGCTGACTAGGGTGTTAAAGCTCTCCCTAAACTTAAACCCTTTGCCCTGAGACAATGGGGCCTAAGGACTTACGGCTACAAAAATCGTATTTCGGGTTCGGGATCAGGTGTAGGAGGCTTTGCCACTCCCCAAGCTCCGATCACACACGAGGGCTTGTTCTAATCCGGGCGTGGGGTGTAGGACGTAGGGGGTTTCTTTGCGGACTGTTCATGAACTTCTCTCATGGGCCCATTGTGAAGAGATCCTGGCATGCTCTCCCTAAGCTCCGCAAACCCCGAAGCTCCCAAAACCCCCTTAACCCCCTAAGGCCCCCTAAACCCTCAACCCCTAAACCCCAAACCCTAAACCCCAAACCCTAAAACCTAAACCCCGAAACCCCTCAACCCTCTCTCCCGCTTCCCTGGATGCCTCCAGGGATTCAGCGGAATTTACCGCTTCCCGTGCCACATCCAACGGAAGATGCGGCACATCCGCGGAGTCCACGCTGGACGCACGGGCCTGAGGGGTTCAGGGGTTTAGGGGTTAGGGGTTTCGGGTTTAGGGTTTCGGGTTTAGGGTTTAGGGTTTAGGGGTTTAGGGGTTTAGGGGTTTAGGGGTTTAGGGGTTTAGGGGTTTAGCGGTTTAGAGGTTTAGGGTTTAGGGGTTTAGAGGTTTAGAGGTTTAGGGGTTTAGGGGTTTAGGGGTTTAGGGGTTTAGGGGCTTAGAGGTTTAGAGGTTTAGAGGTTTAGAGGTTTAGAGGTTTAGAGGTTTAGAGGTTTAGAGGTTTAGGGTTTAGGGTTCGGGTTTAGGGCCGAGGTTCACGGGTAGAAGAACTACAGATTATGGAGTGATAACTTGTATACAACTGGCGGTAACCTTCTTTTGGGTAATTCTTCTACACGGGAAGCTACAAGTAGGGTTTACATGTCAGCGCTTGCAAGGATAGGGTCTTAAGGTTTTCGGGTTTGTAGGATTTGGGGTTAGGGCTTATAGGATCCAAAGCCGAACGGGTTTAGGGTTTACGGTTTAGGGTTTAGGAAACCTGTGAGGGCCTCGGACTGGAAACCCCTCCCCACCCCCAAGCCCGAAACACTAACCAGCACACCATCTGGGCCGTAACACCGAAGATCCTGAAGCCAATGAACTCGCAGACCCAGTTTCCCAAAGAGGTACGCTGCTTGGGGTTGGAAAGAAAGCTCAGGTTATGCCGGGGTAAGCCCTAAACAGTGCGTGGCGCGCTGGAAAAAATGAGTCTGCGCAGTATGGATCGCTCTGAGTATGGAGGCTTTGCAATTCAAAAATCGAGTGGCGTTCTATTGTGCCAAAATTGGTCTGGACCCGGAGGGCTTCGAAACCTGCAGCCCGAAGCCCTACGTAAGCCCAAAAGTGGACGACGAGTCTTCCGATCGCGCTCCAAGAGCACCCCAAGGCCCCACCCCCGCCAAAGCGAATCCGTGCGCTCGCGCGCGCGCGCGCGCGCGTGAACGCCGCAGGCTTAACCATGGGAACCCCACAATGCAAGCACTTTTGGGGTGACGCCCTGAAGCTCTCAACCACTTGGCAGGCGTAGTGGCCATGGTCTCCCCCCCCATCCCCGGCCCCCGAAAGTGGGCTCACTTCAATGAGCCGAAACAGCTGACGGCGCAGCGTGTTCAAGGTTCGGGGGTTTAGGGTTTAGGGGTTTTGGGTTTAGGGTTTAGGAAAACCCTAGATTCGGCCCCCCCTGAACCCCCGAGAAGAAAAGAACTAAGCCCAACAAGAGCCTCCAGATCTCAGCATGCACCTCTCACAAATGCAAGCCCATCCTTGCACCATCCTGCAGAGACTATACGGTTTATGGCGCCTCATGCTTTTACAGTTTACCGGTGTGGGGGGCGGGTGGGGTGGGTTAGGCGGGGGGGGGGGGTGGGGGCGTGCCAGAGGGTATTAGCGTTTCGGGAGATTAAGGCCTCCTAAACCCTTCACGGCTTGACAATTGAACCTGGCTTTTTCAAGGATGTGCTTTGCGGAGGCCGAGACGAATGCCGGTAGCACAACCAAGCCCGATGATTTCTTGCAGCTTCGTGGGCTTCCCCTTTCGGTTTCAGGGACCACAATGAATGAGTGTTTAGCGTGTCAGTCTCGAGTGAGCCTTTGACAATCAGTTCTTCCACAACGGAACAATACTCCTGGGTTTGTAGCAACACCTGCAGAGTCGCACCGCGAAGCACCTATGTCCAATGTGGAGCCCTCCTATTCTCATGCGAAGGATCCCCCCAAAAAGCTCTGATTCTCCGAGTTCCGGGAGCCCCCCCATAGTGAAAGCCCTGCGGATTCCAGGCTCTGTGCTGTTTCGCGGCTGAAGCAGTGGAGTTGGAGCTTCATGCCTGCAACCCTTGGGGGGTTCAGGGCTTTAGGGCTTGAACAGCCTTAAACCGAACCCGAAACCCCTGAACAGCACCACCACGAGAAGAGAAATGGGGTGGGGGCCATGCGGGGGGGGGGGGGGGGGCGGACGGTGGGGGGGGGGGGGACCGGGGGGGAACTCTATTTTGCATGAAGGGTCGCTCCTGCGGAAAACCCCGGAGACAAGGAGGCGCTGTGAGCCCTTACTACCCCAGAAGGGGTGTGCACTTTATCCGCCGACCCCAGCCGGGGGCGGCGTCAGTGAAGACCCACTGCTTTTTATACTACCTTCCAGACCTCCATGCTGGCCCCCATCCATGGCTATCTCACCACCCCCCGCTGCCCCCCCCCCCGCCCCGCCCCATGGCCCCATGGTCCCCTGGCCCTATGCCTCTAGACCCGATCAGATGACTTTATCAGATGACTTTAAAGGGACCTATGGCTCCTGGCCCCATAAAGGGCCCCGCATGCCCTGCGCTTGCTCCGCCCTTCCCACCCGCTCCGCCCGCCCCTCATGGCCCCATCCCTTCGGCCCCTATGGCCCCCATGGACCCATGGCTCCTGGCCCCATGGCCAGCAAGCATTTTTTTTTCGACCTCAAGGGCCCAGCGCACGCCCATCCTTGGCCCCATGGCCCCAGCCCCATGGCCCCCATGGTCTTCTCTGGGCTCTAGACCCGATCAAATGACTTTAAAGGGCCCCAGTGCATGCCCTCTGCCCGCTCTGCTTGCTCCGCCCTTCCCCCGCTCCACCCCCTCCATGGCCCTCGACCCCATGGCCCCCAACCCATGCCTCCATGGCTCCTGGCCATGGCCCCCAATGTCTCCATGCTTCGGCTTCGACGGCCAACCCCCTACTTTGTGGCTCCTGGGCCCATGGGCCTCTAGACCCAATCAAATGACTTTAAAGGGCCCCAGCCCGCCCGCTCCGCCCGCTCTGCTTGCTCCGCCCTCCATGGCCCTCGAATTGCATGGCCCCCATGGACCCATGCCTCCATGGCCCCATGGCCTCGACCCCCATGGCCTGCCCAATCAAATGACTTTAAAGGGCTTCAGTGCATGCCCGCCCGCTCCGCCCGCTCCGCTTGCTCCGCCCTTCCCCCGCTCCACCCGCCCTGCATGGCCCTCGCCCGCCCGCTCCGCCCGCTCCGCTTGCTCCGCCCTTCCCCCACTCCACCCGCCCTCCATGGCCCTCGACCTCATCCCCCATCCATGGGCCCCCCATGCTCCATGCTTCGACGGCCAATACTTTGCCCCATGGCCCATGCATGGTCTGCATGGACCTATGCCTCCATGGCCCCATGACCCAATCAAATGACTTTAGGGCCCCAGTGCATGCCCGCCCGCTCCGCCCGCTCCGCTTGCTCCGGCCTTCCATGCTCCTGCGCCATGGCCCCCAATGTCTCCATGCTTCGACAGCCAACCCCCTACTTTGTGGCTCCTGGCCCCATGGCTTTCCACCCGCCCTCCATGGCCCTCGACCCCCATGGCCCCCATGGGCCCATTCCTGGCGCCATGGCCCCCAATGTCTCCATTACGACGGCCAACCCCACTTTGTGGCTCCTGGCCCCATGGCCCGCTCCGCTTGCTCCGCCCCCCATGGCTCAATGTCTCCATACTTCACGGCTTCTGGCCCCATGGCCCCATGATCCCTGACCCTATGCCCGCAAGACCCAAATAACAAAAGGGCCCCAGCGCATGCCTCCATGGCCCCATGCTGACACCATGGCCCCCAATGTCTCCATGCTTCGAGTGCTTGATGCCCGCCCGCTCCGCTTGCTTTCCCCGCTCCACCCGCCCTCCATGGCGCATGGCACCCATGGACCCATGCCTCCATGGCCCCATGGCTCCTGGCGCCATGGCCCCCAATGTCTCCATGCTTCGACGGCCAACCCTCCTCTAGACCCCATCAAATGACTTTCCGCTCCACCCGCCCTCCATGGCCCTCGACCCCCATGGCGTACATGGACCCATGCCTCCATGGCCCCATGGCTCCTGACGCCATGGCCTCCAATGTCTTCATACTTCGACGGCCAACCCCCTACTTTGGGGGTTCTGGCCCCATAGACCCAATCAAGTGCATGCCCCGCTCCACCCGCCCTCCATGGCCCTCGACCCTGGCCCCATGGCTCTTGGCGTAGGGCCCCCAATGTCTCCATGCTTCGAGGCCAATACTTTGTGTGGCTCCTGGCCCCATGGCCCCATGGACCCCTGGCCCTATGCCTCTAAATGACTTTAAAGGGCCCGCCCGCTCCGCCGCTCCGCTTGCTCCGCCCTTCCCCCGCTCCACCCGCCCTCTGTGGCCCTTGACCCCATGGCCCCCATGGACCCCTGCCTCCATGGCCCCCCCCAATGCCCCTACGTTGTGGCTCCTGGCCCCACGGCCCCATGGTCCCCCTCTAGACCCAATCAAATGGCCCCAGCGCACGCCCGCTCCGCCGGCTCCGCCCTTCCCCCACTCCACCCACCCTCGACGCCCAACCCCCTATTTTTACTACTTTTTGTGGCTCCTGGCCCCATGGCCCCATGGTCCCCTGGCCCTATGCCTCTCGACCCAATCAAAGGTGACTTTAAAGGGCACCAGTGCATGCCCGCCCGCTCCGCCCGCTCCGCTTGCTCCGCCCTTCCCCCGCTCCACCGCCCTCCATGACCCTCGACCCCCATGGCCCCTGGCCCTATGCCTCTAGACCCAATCAAATGACTTTAAAGGGCCCAGTGCATCCGCTCCGCCCGCTCCGCTTGCTATGCTTGGACGGCCAACCCCTGTGGCTCCTGGCCCCATGGTCCCATGGTCCCATGGTCCTCTAGACTCAATCAAATGACTTTAAAGGGCCCAGCGCATGCCCGCCCACTCCGCCCCCTTCCCCCGCTCCACCCGCCCTCCATGGCCCTTCATGGCCCCCATGGACCCATGCTAACCCCCTACTTTGTGGCTCCTGGCCCCATGGCCCCATGGTCCGCCTCTAGACCCGCCCCAGCCCGCCCGCCGCCCGCTCCGCTTGCTCCGCCCTTCCCCCGCTCCTCCATGGCCCCATGGCTCCTGGCGCCCTACTTTTTGTGCTCTTGGTTCTATGGCCGCATGGCCCTATACAGGGTGGGGCCCCCTAGTAATAAGTAGAGTTATAAGGGCCCTAAATTGGGTTATAAGGACCCTAAGTTAGGTTATAAGTCCCTTAACTACAGTTAGTATAGTAAGGGGGCCCACCCTGTATGCCTCTAGACCCAATCAAATGACTTTAAAAGGCCCCAGTGCATGCCCGCCCGCTCCGCCCGCTCCGCCCGCTCCGCTTGCTCCACCCTCCATGGCCCTCGACCCCCATGGCCCCCATGGACCCATGCCTCCATAGCCCCATGGCTCCTGGCGCCCTGGCCCCCAAGGCCTCCATGCTTCCACGGCCAACCCCCTACTTTGTGGCTCCTGGCCCCATGGCCGCCCTTCCCCCGCTCCACCCACCCTCCATGGCCCTCGACCCCCATGGCCCCCGACCCATCCCTTCGACCTCCATGGCCCCCATGGACCGATGGCTCCTATGAGCTCAGGGTTTAGGGTTTTCTTGGACGTTTAGGGTTTAGGGTTTCAGGGTGTAAGGGTTGTAAGTTTAGGTTTCGGGGTTCCGGGTTTCGGCATTGAGGTTGTAGGGTTTTGGGTTTAGGGCCTTCAGCGTGCCATCAGCAAGACTCTCTTAGATCTGGGGTCGGCGGCACTGGCGGTAGCCATTAAATCGGGCAGCGCGAGGTCCCCAAAGGACCGAGCAAATGCGGACCTTTTAGCCCGGGTCGTCCCGGGAATAGCCTTGCTGGCCTCTGGCCTTCTGCGAAGCAGAATTAGGCCGGACGCCAGTGCCGCCGACCCCCGCGTGCCGCCGGTGAACGGTTTTTTTTTCGTGGTTTTTTGCGTCGCCACGGAGGCCCCCAGAGGGCGCGCATCATGAGCATCAGCGGGTCCAGCCCGGGACCCCCAGGCGCGCATCAGGAGCATCAGCGGCTCCCGGGGCGGGATACCGGGGGGCGCATCAGGAGCATGACGCCCCCCAAAGGGCGGGCATAAGCGACGTGTCTAAGGTCGGGGCTAGGAAAAAGGGAGTTTAGGGGCCTTATAAAGTGCTTAGAAACTTTAAGGGAGTCTAGGAGCCTCAAACGCTTAGAGATTTGAAGGGAGTTTAGGGGCCTGAAAATGCTTAGAAACTTTAAGGGAGTTGAGGAGCCTC